GTGTAACCTGGACATTCCAAGGTCAAAACGAATCACGCCCCATAAAGGTGGTTGAGAATGGCTGAGCTGAGATCCTGTGGGACTTTCTGGAGCTCCTCTCTGAGCCCTTCGTACTTCTCCAGTTTCTCGTGTTCCTGATGTTGTTGTCTCTTCATATAGCTACATCTATCACTACGGCTGTCTTTGTCTGCTTGTGCACGAGGGCAGCAAGTAATTAGCATTACAAATATTCAGTTACTTTATGACGTATAAATGTAGGCGATTGCAACACATGATCATTTTTTATTGCAGTGTGGAGTTTTTCCTGGAGTTTTGTCATAACACAAAATAGTTGACAAATCTCAATATGACCATTTCATTTGGCCAACAAATATACTGTTTCTGCCTCGTGGTCTTCATCAGATCACAAAACCAAAAAGGTTTTGGTAATTTGTGGAAATAAAATCACACGATAATTCGCCTCCTGGTCTCATATCCAACAACGCAACAACAGTTACACAAACACAGCAGTGTGGTTGTGTCTGAGGTTGTATTTTGGATTGACTGATTGCTGGAAGAGTTACATGTTCAAGCTCAGTGAAACTCAGAGTTGCAGAGTGGCCTTGTTTGGCCCCATGATAGTGTTTGGCTATGGCATACTTCCCAGTATGGATGGCTCCCAGTACGGATGGCTCCCAGTACGGATGGTTCCCAGTACGGATGGCTCCCAGTACGGATGGCTCCCAGTATGGATGGTTCCCAGTATGGATGGCTCCCAGTATGGAACCATGGATGGCTCCCAGTACGGATGGATGTTGTATGTTGTGAAATGTATTGTGTGCTCTTTGTTAACTCTTTGTGTGTATGTAAACTTGGACACAGAAGCATTAAGCATGCAGATGGCTGCTGTTGACCTGCAGTCATCTTGTCCTGCAGAATAGTTCAGAAGTATAATAAAGTATAAAGCATTCATACAAACATGTTCCAGGGTTATAATGAGGTTTTGCAGCACGTCTGCAGGAAGCTCAGTGTAGACACAGAGGAAACAGTGTTTGCAGATCGTTGCATGGTTCTGTACGACGGGGCCCAGCTTTAGGTTGCTGTTACAGCTTCGTCAGGAGTGAACCTGAGGCATACACATCAAACTGACACCTCTGTCCTGCTGTGGCAGTCTACACCGTATAGACCCGTCTTTCTTCATCACAAGAACAACATGCTCTCTGTGAGCCATCTATTGCTCTCACCTCCAGCACAGCATGTTGGGTAATCTATAGGCCCATGGGTCCATCTCATCTCATCACCCACACCAGGGTGTCTTCTCCAGTGCAGGTGTCACGCCTCATTATCACATGATGCTATGACTGTACTGCATCAGTGCACACCATGTGACCATCAATTTTTAACCCTTGGTTGAGGCCAAGCTGGAGTGTCATCACAAGATCATCATCATCATCATCGTGGCACAGACTCCACATGACCCTAACTATCGTGAGTGCACCCTGAACTTCTCCAGGACCACCTGAGCTATCATGTGGATCATGTGGATCTCTCACTCAGATGTCCCTGACTGCAGCCTCCTAGCTGGTGTGTCATTGGGCTTCTGGGTGAAGGCTAATGGCCGATCGTCTCTCCCCATACAAGAGTCACAGAAGCAGCGAGGATGTCCTCCAGGGAGGTGCATCTCAAGCTACTGTTGCTGCACTGCTTCCCCCTCCCAGTCCATTGTGGCCAGCTCTGATGCAATCTGTGCATCGCTTGCAACAGCCTCATGGGACGGGGCCGACGTCCTAGTGTTGAGACTACCTGGAGGCCAGTGTAAATGTCTGCCATTGTCGAAACGCCGTGACATAAACAGACGAAACAGCACTTCCAGATCATTACATGATTCTTTGTGGTTTCTCAAAGATTTTGCACTGAGCTGCTTTGTGCAACACTGACACGTTAGCTTCAAGCTGCTGTTGCAGCTTCCTGCTGCCATCTCCAATCACCAGCCACTGTAACGGCGGTCTGGCAAGGAAGGAGTGGCTAGCAGGTCCTGCAGGTCCCGCAGGCATGCAGCGTGGACGTTAGCTGGGCAACTTGGAGGCCAGTCAGTTAGAACAACAGACTTTTATTTGGCATTAACTGAAGACCATAAGATCACACAAGCAAGGTCTCCACGGCTCTACGCATTCATACAAACATGTTCCAGGGTTAGGTGGTTCCTGCCGCCGGCCCGTTACAGTGGTAAGGTCTCTCTAAAACAGATGCACGGAGAGCAGCGTGCTGGACTGTAATGGCTGCCCCTGCCCTCACTGTAGGAGACTCCAACTGCTACAGTGATATGACGACACCCCATAATAAGTGTTGTTACATCACACACATCTGTCCCAGGGCACTACTGTAAAATAGGAGACACACCTGGCAGCTGTGCCAGTCAGACACCCTCAGCACTGCCCAGGAAACAAACACGGTCACGACTGTTTGAGTGAAAGGATAAACGAGCTCTCAAAATGACAGAAGGGGAGAGGGTTCTCCTTTTAAGATGTGCCAGTTATGTTTCTGATAGCAATGGTTAAACTCAGCGATGGAAGTTATTCTTTCTTTGTGGCAGTTGTGATTTTAGAGCAGTTTGATGCTCTGTCGATGATGGAGGGATGCTTCTTTCTTTCTTTGAATCTTGATTTCATCTCCTTTGCCACACTGTTCCTCCTAAGGCGTGTAAACTGCTCACCCTGCCATGTTTTCCATGGTGTTGCTGTAGACAAGAGTTACTTTCCACCGGTTTCCGTAGAGAAATAGTTTCTGTTGAGCGATGGCTACATCTGAAATACTTACAGTGTTTAAGTCACATGTCATTTCTACATCTTTCTCTTTGATCTGAGTCCGTTCACGTTTGTGCTGTAGGTTGTCCCTCCCTCCCACTGTGCCACAATCAGGGATACATGTGTTGTAGCAGCTGCTCCCCTTAACCTGTACAAAGGAGCTGACCTGAGATAATTATTTGGTAAAACTACAGAGAGCATTTGTAAAAATTTGAGTAATTTGTTGGAGTCGTTGGGAAAGATATTTAGAGGTGAAACCTGTTTCATTTGGGATGCAATCATAGACTCTTCCATGGATACGAGTATTGTGGGATTGGCTACAATGTAACCTTCCAAGCAGCATCTTTTTCTTTCAAGAAGGAAGGTGTTGATGCTACAGCATCATTCAGGTAATCCACACACTTTGTTAGAGCTTCTGTGGATTATTCAACAGCTCTCGGTGGGAATTATTTACATTTTCACATCTTTGGATTCCCATAAATGACTGAATGTTGTTCTGAATAAAATTCAAACTCACAGCGAGATCCACAGACATTTAATTTAGTGGATGACTTCTAAGCTCTTCATCGTTCTCTCAACATTCAAAAGCATCTGAGTCCATTAACAGTTTACATCCATGATCATAATCGCCCCTCTCTTCTGCAGATTCTTTATTTGACTCAGTTAAAGCATGAAGCTCAGCCCTGGCAGTTATATTTTAGTCCTCTGTCTGTCTTTTATTTATGGTTTTTTTTGAGTAGTTGGATCTTCTAAGTGACTCGTTTCGCTGTTTTTGGTTTAAAAGGGAATTCAGGCCAAGGTTGTTTGCACATTGCTTGTTGATTCCAAGGATTTTCAAGGACTTCAGCACTTTTGTGTTCATTTGACCATTTTGACATTTATTTTTAAGAAACAGCTTTCACATTAAAAACATCAGAAACATCAGAAACATCAGAAACACATCGCAGCAGGCAGCAGTGATGTGTAAAACAAACAGGAGGGTCGTATGTGTGAGACAGCCAGCTTGTGTTACAATACAAAGCTGAGGATGTGAGGGTGCTGATGAGGCTTCACGGCGTGTCTCTCTAACGGGTCAACGCAAAGATGATGCTCTGATGTCACACTAGCATCATGTCCATGTGGTCAGACCTTCTTGGTGCAGAAATGTTATATTTTCCTAGTTAATCTGCTTTAACAGCAACAATGAATTTTTATTATTTACTTAATTTAAACATGTTGTAAATTCTGTTTTGTTTCTTCCAGAATTTTTATTACAAAGTTTCACATTTTTACTTTCATAGTATTTTATTTTATCTTAAGTTTGTGTGTACATTTATTTATTTTTT